TGCTCCATTGATTACCAGCATGACAACGAGGTTTTTCTCAGTCTCTGGGTCGGAAGAATTGTTAGCAATAGCAAGTAAATAAAAATATATAAAAATATTTTTATACATACATACATACATAACTTCACGCCTGTCTCGCATGGGGGTAGGCGATTATTATTATTATTTTTTAAGTGAGGAAAATCATTGAATGACTTCTCCCGCCTGGGTGAAGCGGGAGGGAGTGTCAGACTCTTACTGACTAAAAAAACCACCCCATTCTTACTCCAGCATGGAGTTTTTTCATTTTTCACCCACTTTTCATTATTTATGTTATGTAATAGGGGTGAGTCTATTGCCATATACCGAGCACAACTCCAGACTCCGTGCTACTACTGATATTTTTTTTAAAACCCAGTACCTAATTATTCCCGGCCCGGGTATCCAACCAGAGACTCTAGCCCAACAGTCGCGCAAAGGACACACCGGGCGTCAGGGATCGCGGGACGATCTCCGGCCACCGTAAGCGCTGGCCTGCGAACGGCGAGCATGGGTGGCTTCCCGTCCGACCAAAAACAGACCCAAGCGTACGGCGCGTCGCGTTCCGCGCGCGCCTCATGGAGCCGTCAGACCACCACGGATGGGGCCTAACAGGGCCGATGCCTATTCAGAGTCGCGGCGAACCTAACGGGTAACCGGGGCTCCGGCTCGACGTGCAGGAGAAGGAACGGGGTGGGTTTTAGTCAGTAAGAGTCTGACACTCCCTCCCGCCTCACCCAGGCGGGAGCAGTCGTTCGATGATTTTCCCCCCTTAAAAAAACCCTATTTTTCGTTATTGTTTACTTTTCTTTTTAACATGCAGTTTTGTGATGTAATGGTACAATCATCTAGTTGTATCCTATTGTTAGTTACCGTTACGGTCCACGACTGTATATAATAAGTGTTAATAACTACATTTCATATTCACTGTCACGTTCCGTCTCATGCACGTAGAATAATAATAAATACATTGTCACTATTTGT